TCACTTCCTATGTTTTGGATGTGGGTATTCTATGGGTAGTAGTGGATAGCACCTAGTAGTGGATAGCACCTACCAGTAAATGTCTGTACATTAGTTGATAATATGGAGAGCTGTGAGTCCCAGAGGAAGATTTGAACAGATAGTTCTTGTGCCGTCAGACTAAAGTAACTTTAAATGGATTCTGATAAAAATCATGCTGCTATGGAATGATTATCTCAACCAACGAGATCATAGAAATAGCTGTATTTGTTACTTACCTAGGCTTTATGAATCCATGTATGTAGTTAGTACATAAGCATGTCCAAGCCATCAGTGGAAGAGTACTGATGGTGATGAGTACAGTGGTGATGGAAATTTGCTTTAGGCCAACAGCTCTCACTGAATGTCCCACCAACTCTCTCAATGCTCAACAAGACTTTCCGTTCTTCTTGACCTGCCTGCAGTAGCAATTAATGCTTGTGAGCCAGTCGTGATCTGCTCTATGTTCTCCCACCTTTGCAGATTTAAAAATGTTTTCATTTTCTGCACATAAATAGCAGGCTGTGTTTACAGCGGTTGAGTGGGAGCCACCCTGATTGCAATGCCTGTATTTAGCTATTCTGAAAGGGAATGTTTCTGGCTCATTTTGTGTATGTCACGGTTTATTCTTAGAAGTCCTGCATCTGATTTTAGCACCTATGAGCAGTCCTGGTGTAAAGCCCCAAGAGAAAAACCTGCCCATGAACAGGTATGGTGTGCACAGCAAAGACCGTGTCCAGCATTCATGCTTTCTGCCTCCCTTCTGCCCATGACCAATGCCAAGAGCTGCAAAACTGATGTCTCTGAATGGACAAAGGCAGTGAAAAAAACTGTTTGTCAGTTCATTAGGAAAGGGCAGAGGGAACTGGCACGCTATGGTCCCCTTTGGCTGTAGCAGAAAGACGGTGAGCAGCAGCTGGGATGCCATGTGATCTGCGGTGTTCCTTACCCCAATGCCACTGGCGCTGCCCAGCAGCCTGCTGAAGAAATGCTGACATGAAGAGAGGTCCACTTCCAAGGCAAGGCCTCACTCTGCAAAGGCAGCCTGGTGGAGAACTCTAAAAGAGTGATTCCCTGCTTCTGTACTGGTGAAACAGAGAACCAAAGCCTTAAATATCTCTGTCCTCTCCAGGCTGATGTTGCAGTAGTCTATGACCACAGCAGAGAAGCTGAGGCAGATCACAGGCACAACAGAAATTGTGTAAGCAGAGTGCAGGGCAGAGAGCCTTGAGTTCCCTCCTGAGCAACCTTGACTTTGGCTAGGAAAGAAAGTATAAACCTCTTCTAACACAAACAGGGAAAATATCTCAGGCAGGAGTTGTGCTGTGAGTACTCTGAGAGATCATTGCCGCTGTAGGCTCTGTTAAAAGGCAGTGCTTCATACCAGAACCTGCTGAATGACATACAAAGGGAAGATCGCAGACAGTTATCGTCATTTTTTTAGTTCCATGATAGTTTTAGCTGAATCATGAAGGAATCTGAAACATTATGGGGAGTGCACTAAAAAGAGGAGATGAGCTAAAAGGATTTGGCAGTACTTAAATGCATTTCAGCCCTTCCCCAGACTATGATGCCGTCTATAGAAAATGCAAGCACACTTTGCCTGGAGACATGTAGTGCTGCAAATTAGGTGTAAGAGTGAGCTGATGTAGTAATCCTGAAATGCTATATCCAAGTGGTCTCTGAAATATGGCTCTTATACTATTTTAAAAATATTTTTAATCTTATAGTGGATGTCAAGATTGGTGTACAGCCAGCTCCAAGTAGGCATAGAGAGAAGAGCTGTAGAGGCAGTTGTCTTCACACTGCATTGTTGATGGGCCTTTCTCTGAGGCATGACAGACCATTAAGGATTTCTCCTTGTGTCTTGCCCTGTCCCATTATCTGGCTCCCTTTTGAACCTGCCAAGAAATGTTTTTCTTAGTTTGTGTCTTCATATGATTGTTGAGCTTTTTTCTCAGATACTGTTGCTAAGAATGATTTTCAGACATGATTCCTTTAGACAGCAATGTCCAGCAATCTAGAGCTGAAACACACACCTATAATCCTTTGTACATTTGATGGTTTAATTTTTTTTTTTACTATCTCAATGTTTTTTCAACTGCCTTTATCATGAACAAAAGAAAATTTAAGCTTTTCTAGTGAGAATTATAGCTCCTGTAATACAGTAACATACGCTGTGATTGTAGCATAATTTAATACATGAAGTTTCATAGACAGATATAATATTTTATATCAAACAGTATATTAAAATATGCTATTTATTAATATATAATAGCAAAGCAGCTGAAAAACATTTTTCTGATATTATCTGGGACTGAGAAAACAAAAAATGTTTTCTTTCAGGTAAGGAATTTTTTTCAGATAGAAGCCACAACTTCAGATCCCCATGTATGTCCTCCCCATGTATATCTGCTATGTCTGAAGATGTCACTGAATTTAATGGCATGTCTGTTCATGGAGGACTTGTGAAACTGGACAATTAGGCCCTCCTGAAAACAACACCCTAATTGTCCTTAGTGAAAGCAGCGTGTGCCTCCCTTAGTTGTACCAGCAGAAATGCTGCTGTTGTGCTTTGGATCTAGTTGCTTGTTGAAGCCTATAAAGCAAATTATGATTCATCTTTCTAGGAACAGCGAAGGCTTAAAAATGATCATATGAAACACTGAATACCACTATTCTGTGTGCCTCTTTCATTTGTTGTGTTAAATGAAACCGAGCATTTCACCTTAGCACTGAAACTATTCAGGACTCAGCCTTGGAGGGTACAGGATAACCTGTTCTTGGGCCCTGCTTGGAAAAGCAGGTGCAGCAAGGTATCTCCAGAAGTCTTCTGTGCTCCTACAATTCTAAGTTAATGCCATTTAAACTATCACAATGAACCTAACATGAAAATTACCAGCCACTAGCCATCAGGTGGAAACCGCTATGGTGCACAGTAAATTTGATTTGGATCAGGAGAGAAATCAGGAGTGGAGCCCTCACTGACAGTTACTTTTGATTATGGAGTCAACTGCATCTTTAACTTTTAGTGTATTCTCACCTCCTGAACTTTATCAGGTTCTTTATAAACCAGCCAGCTAGAGGACTTGCCTTTGTTCAGAAATACCCTTATACTCTGATGCTGTGTTAACAGTTTTCTTTTGTATAAGTCAAAGTAAATAAATATTCCATCTCTTACTTGCTGTTTTTTGTCTGCTATGTACAGCCTCTGCATTGTTCTTAACTGTGATCTCCACCCCTTCCCTGCCTCCTCAACTGGCACAGGCAGGAAAATACTCAGTGACTCTTGAGCAAACCTGTGATGAGCTGTGAAAATCCTTAGTACTTTCAGTGGTGTGAACAAGAAACACGTTTTCAAATTCTTCTGAGTTTTGGTGACGCCCAGCCTTGGCTCTGAGTTCAGCTGCTTCTGTTTCCTTACTGCAGTCTGTCAGGGGCAGGCTCAAGTCCTTACTCCTCCCCGTGAATTTTGTCTGGTTGCTTTGTTTTGGCTGCTTGTCTTTGCGTTCCCTGTTGAGAGAGTTCCAAGGCCCTCCAAAAACCTGACTAAAATGCACTTTCTCTCTGCAGGTAGCCTCATCCCAGGTAAAGCTGAATCTGCATTGGCTGGGCCAGTCTGGGTTTTCCTGCTGTACCTCGTTTTCTCTTTCTTCCTAGTTGCAGTAGTGTGTAACAGGAGATTGGCCTGATGCTCTTTGGCTAGGCCTAAGCTTTCAACATAGCCCTCTGAAGTGACTCAAGGGCATCTTCTGTTAGGGGATGCAGCTTGGGCATCAAGCACCTTTGCTGCTGGAGCTCTGCTGTGCTGCTTGGCAGTGTCAAGTGCTCTAAGCAAAGAGGCAGATTAAGTGAGTGGTCACTATGTATTGTTTCATACACTTCTTTTGAATTAAGGTGAAATAAAAAGTGAAAATCCATTACATTCACCAAAGGATACTATTGGTATGATTGACCAAATTCTTTCCTAGTCTTGGAAGAGGGCACAGGTTTCATACCCTCGAACAGGGCTTGGCCCTCTTAATTTTAGCCATCTAAAACTGACATAACTAGGCTGAGTCATGTTTACTTTTTCTAGGGTTAATGGAGAGAAAATGTCATTTTGAGTAAACACTATATTCCACTTAACTAGGACAGGATGAAATGCCCTTTGACGTGTCTAATGTGAGGGATTCCAGACAGCTGACTTAAATGTGGAAGTTCTAAGTGTCTTAAGCCATATGAGACGGAGCCCTCTGGAAGAAGTCAGTCTAAATCTGCAAAGCTGGCCTAAGACACAAACCCACTTAACACACCAGACAATCTTCAGGAAAGTGTAGGCAACTCTGTAGCTTCATCATCAAATATCTTTCTGGAAAAGGTTTAGAAAAGAATTTGAAAGAGCAAAGGCAATCATTTGATCCATGAGAAGAGGAGAGCAGTTCTGGCACATTGTAACAGAGATAGAATTATGGCATCCACCCCTCCAGCTACCTCCACCCCCAAAATCTGAAAACTTCCTGATTTGTGTTCATCAATAATTAAGAGCCCATCAGCAATACTCAGCGGGAGCTTGCATTGCACTTCTGAGCAGCCAGTTAGTAATGTACGGTGGAGAGATCCTCTTTTTCAAATCCCAGGGCTCCAGGCCGTGCAATGCTAGTATTGCATTTTCAATTAGCTTCTGAGTGAATGCTTGGCATATGTAGAAGTGAACTGGTACACAATTAGCTTATTGTTCCTTTCAGCTTTGTGCTGAGAGGGTCTGAAGGGCTGCAGAAGAGAGAGGAGAGGGGGAAAAAAAGAAAGCAGCCAAGCCAGCAGCACCTCTGTGGATGTGGAATAAGGGAGTTGCTCGGCTCACGCAGATTCCCGTGTCAAGTCAGGAGCTACAGCTGTTCCTGAGGAGCACTCAGCCTGGCTGTGGAGAAGGCACCCAGGGAGAGGCGCAAACCGTCTCCAGCTCCAGGCTCTTCTCTCCTCTCACTCATCTCGGTGCCACAATGGAGCCCAACAGTCCTAAAAAAATACAGTTTGCTGTGCCGCTATTTCAGAGTCAAATAGACCCTGAGGCAGCTGAGCAGGTAAGGAACATGAGTTTCTTTCACTGTTTTGAGAGAATGGGGTAGGAATGGGGGCAAGAGGTGGGGTGAGAACAAGTAACGTCTCTGGCCTAAATGTTTTCTAACTTATATTAGTGTAAATATAGATTATACGTCCTAAAGGTTACAGAGATGTCTGGATATACCCAAAGAGGAGGAAGGTGTGTCTTCTAGCCAGAATAAGGCTTCTTTACCTTGGATATGTTTATTTAGTATATATTTGTTGTGCTTTTTCTATAACTGGACTTGTACCCTAATGCCTACATTCACACGAATATGCATTCTCAACAAATCAACTAAAGGACATTGTATGTAAGGCAAAACATGAGGCTGATAATAGGTACCAATGGAAATACTGCAGAGAAGACAGCTTATTTACCCTTTGTTTTAACATGAGAAAATATGAGTTATGTTTTGCACAATAGTTATCACTTCAGTTACCTCCTGCATTTCTCATTTTTACACAGTCTTTCTTATGTTGTTGTTACAGTATTTTACATGTCTGAAAAATGCAGAAGTATGTCTGACTTACATCTGCATTGGAATGATATGTGTGCTATTTTAGGTTTTGGCTCACTCCCAAAATATGCACATAGATGTAATGTATATAGCAATCCAGACGTCTAAGGAGGAAAATATATCTGTTATTGTACAGATACATGTAGATGTGCATAAAAAAGGACACAGGGAATCTTACGAGAAAAGCTCTATAAATTTTAATTAGGTGACCCAGTGTACTTCTTTTGGTTCCAAGTCCTTTTCAACATCTGCTTCTATTTTGGAAAGTCTAGTTTTAGATGATACCAGGGGAATGTTATAACCTTGACAGTTCTGTGCCATTAGCTATAAAATTATTTGCATCTTTAGGACAGGTTTCTGGTTTCCTGAATATTATGATGAGTTGTGAGTGATCACTGAACAAAGAAATACTAGAAGGGTGCAGGAGAGAATTGCTGTGAGTCTTCATTTTGTCCATAGGTACTCCTGAGCTGTGAGATGTCCACACCTTATGGAACAAACCTGCAAAGAATTCAAGCAGGATGTGTTTTGACATTTTTCTGAAATCTGTGAGAACTGTAAGATTAAGATTTCCCAGAATTCCCATGGCTTTTGAAATGTTGTGGCTCAAATGCTACGCAGTATTTATAGGCAGTCCTTCTTTCTTTGTATGTTGTGAGTTTAATTCCAAGTGTTATACAGTTTCACTGTGGGTGTGTGATGAAATTAAAGTAGTAAATTCTGCTGTCAACTAGAGTTATGCTATCTGGAACAAACCCATTAACCCTGATGATGTAATTTTCCATTTGCATCACTGAAAGCAAAATTTGAACCGAGATAAATACAGATGTTGGCTCAGCAGCTAAAGAACAAATGTACTGACATTGAGGTTTTTGTGTCAGAATGGTTTCCAGCTTAAATACTCTTAGTCCCTCTCTTAAATTCAATAGAATATCAATAGCCTGGAGGCGTTAGTGAAGCAACACAAAGCTTTCAATGCAAATATGTGCATTATGGAAGGGTAGTCCAATATCGTGTACTTCAACCAGTGTTAATGGAACAAAAAAAATTGCATAAAATTCAGGATTATATATTGTTAAGTAAAGATCTGTTGTATAGTGCTCTTTGAAAATATTACTTTTCAAGACAATGGTAACACCTCTGGCCAAAGTTTAGAAATATAATAAAACATTGAAAGGCATGCATGCAATATCAATTCTCAAATGAACTTTAAAAATATTAATATTAACGATTACTTGTGACACCTATGACAGTAACAGGTATTTGCACATATGAGGTCACAAATTGTTGCAACAGTTTTCCTGATGCAAAGCTACATGTCAATATTTTAAGATACGGCTGATGTATGTCAACATTATGTGTCCCAAAACTTATTTGGGATGACTGCAGATCCCAAAAGTATTTTGAAAAGCTCTCTCTCATGCTTTTACTTTCCATACACAAGCAGCAGCATGACCCTGATCACCGTCAGACCAGATGAGCAGTCAGTAAGACTATGACATGCTGCTGTTCTTTGCTCTTTTAACTTTATTTGGTCTATACTCAGGAGGACAACAGAAGAATTTTTTGCTTTGCTTTGTGTGTGAGGCAGCTGATGGACTCTCCTTGGTTTGTGCCTCTTACAGATCAGGAAAAGGCGGCCTACACCAGCATCACTCGTCATCATGAATGAACATGTGCCCCCAGGTAAGTGCCAACATACCTTCTAAACCATCGAACTCATATACACAGGGTTGTCTGCAAATTTGTTTTACTAACTACATGATTTTAAAACCCCAGCATTAATTTCATAGCTCTAAAGATCAATTAATGGATCTTAGAATTCTTTGGAGTAAACCCCATGAATATGTGTAAGTCTTGGCCTCTGGATAATGTCAATAATCTCAGGATTTTATCCTCCACAAAAATATTTTTTTTTGGTATTTACAAGGAGAATGAGTATGACCCAGATCCAGTACCTCCACCCCCATTTTCTACCCCTGAGTGGATAATTTGGAAAGCCATGAAGTCCTAGTCTTGGTTCTCCAATCTCTAGAGATACCAGATTGGCTCCAGGACTAATTCAACTAAGGGAATTGCTTCTGCAAAAACATGTTGGTTTCTAGGTTTTTTGAATGAAACATGATGTCTCTTTTCATTATTCCTTTTCAAATCTGAATACATTGTCTTCCTCCAAGGCTCCTCCCAGAAGGTTTTGTGTGGAATGGGATGATTTAAGGTTGTAATATACTTTGTCACATAAACGTAACTTCAGAAAGACTCTTTAGTAAGCTGTTTAGGGAGTATTATAAGCAAAAAAAGCCCAGCAAAAATGGATTACAGGAAAAAGTCCTCAAGACCTAATCCCTTTGAAATACAATAACTATTTGTATCAAACTTTTCTTTTGTAGTGCCCTACAACATTTTTTTTTCCTGCCTTATCTCTTCATCGCTTGAGTGCTTTTTTAAAAGCAGGTCAGGCTTTTTCTCACTGGTGTGTATCTAAGGTCATTACTGTACGCACTGGCACCTCAGCAAAATAAAACCATCTTAGCTCTATTAGGATCACCACATACTGCACTGTGCTGATGGTCTCCAGTTCTGGTTAACACCACCAGTAGCTGAAGGTCCTCAGAAACGTGCAGAAAGAAGCATTTAGAGCTCTTGGGGTTGAGATACAGCACACAGGCTGGGGAGGTTCAAGCCTGGCATATGGCCAAGGTTATATTCCTCTGACACCGAGAGTGACCTCTGTGTTTGCTGCTGGGCTAACACCGATCCCAGTTTGGTGAGTAGCTTTCTGACCTGAATTTCAGGCAGTTCAGTTCTCAGTAATGGCGTGCAAAAGATCTGCCTTTGACTGGGATCTACAGTGCCTGTGTTGCTAGGACTCAATTGGAAGCAAATTCACCTTGACTGTTAATCTCTTTTGCAATTCACTTTGTACACTTTGTACTGTCATATTTCCTTTTATAAACAGATACTTGGTACAGTCCCAAATCAAAACCAAACAGAGAATAAGAACTCTTTTTAATTTACAGGAAATTTTACTGTAAACAAAGTGGTGCATGTCTGTTATCTCCTTTCCTGCAATGTTCACAATAAATCTTTAAATAAATCATTTTTATTATGAATCAAGATTGCTGCAAGTATCGGTCAACTTCCATATAAGTCCAAGAGTTAGTATTCACCTTCTTCACTTATTTAAATAGACATTTAGATATCATCCCCTCTTACCAGACACTGGAACCTAATATTAATGAAGGTATTCTTTGGTAAAATTATAATCATGTCTTGTTTTTAAATTTGTGTTAAGTCAGATAAAAATTAAAATTTTCCTGCGCTTCACCATGTGATTTACGTATGAGTCTGTGCCTGTGTATTTCCACAAGCTTGATCTGGACAAGTGTTTTGCACAGGGTGTGCACATGTAGCTGTGTAAACCTGCTAAAAGCCAAGTTGGAAAGGCAGACAGCAGCTTTACAGTGGAAGTTCAAATAGCAAAAGAATTCCATATGGTCTTCACCTTGCAAGGTGCTGTAGAACTTCTGACATTATTGTACACCTTCAGCTTTGAGAGTCAGCTAATCTTGGGGGCTCTTGAAACTTTGTTGATGAAACCCCAAAATGCTAGTCGACTATTGAATTTTGAATAGAATTCAATGGGATGCTGAATAACATTTCTTTTCCAAAAATGTTAAATTCATCACTGCACATGGTTACGGTCAATAAAATAATAGTAAAACTTAAACACTCCAACGAACTGCTTCAGAAGCATAATTCCCTAGATCAAGGGGGAAACAAAGCAGCAGAGAATCTAAGTGATACTGCCAAAGCCATCTATTAAGTTAGAGCTGAGCTAAATCAGAATCCCGCCTCTTAATTTTACTCACTGGAGTCTTCCCTCATTGGGAGCAAACAGCTAGTGAAGGAAATGCTTCCAAGGGTTTAAAATGTGTGTCTTAATGTAATCCTTAATGTTTGGATGCCCCTGCAAAGTTTACTCAAGTTATCTAAACTTCTTTTATTTTGAAAAACAGTGATAGGCATTTTCTAAGATTCAGGCTTTTCTATAGCCTTTTGTTGCAGCTGCTTCTGATTGCAGCAAGGGAAAAAAGCAGCATTTTTGTGGTATTCTGATGTTCTGGATACAGACCCATCTGGAATACAGAAGGTAGTAAAATGTGTTTGGGTACTTCAGAACTTCATAATAAATTCAGTTTGAGTTGTGCTGTACAAAGATCTAAAATAGCTGTTTTCTTCTAAGTCTTCTCATTCATCCCTGGTATTTACTATAGTTTTGACAGAATTCTGACTTCACTGATTTAGGTCAGGTCCATTGTGCTATAAAGTGAAGATGGAATATCTACTAAGGCTAAACCATTTTAAACTGTTGACAGCTACTCAAAAACTATAAGAAGAGTCTGTTTGGCTTCCTTACTTTAAAGGAGACAGTGCTAGACCACACTAAAAGATTTAAAGACAGGTGGCAGATGTGAGTGCAGGAGATAATATCCAACCTGTAGCATCATTGACTGATTTCTCATATGCAGTCTGGTTGGCATCACATAATTACAATCAAAGTCAATAAAAGAGATATTTGAATAGTAGCAGCAAAAAACAGCGATTGCAGTGGACAATATGAGCTTGTGAAGCAACGTAGCAATGAGTAAATCCTTAACTCTTTCTGTAAGTGCTCTGTAAAGTGCTCATTGATGGGTTATGTCACCTCTGAGCACAGAAGCTAGCACTAGCAATTTGAGACTCAAAGTTACTTAACTCTTTTGTACTTCAGTTGCCATCAATGGAGCTATATTTTCAGAGGATCTGATGTTAGACTTCATAACATCTAATCAGTTTTACTTTATTTGAAATTATAAGACGCTTTCACTATCTATGAAAGCAAAAGCAAATATTAGTGGGCAGAACTACAAAAACATGCAGCATTTCATCCTGTGCAGGATGCCTATATGGGTTACTGGGGTAACCCACTCGTACCCTGCTGTAGCCACAGTTGTTCTGTATCTGTCCTTTATAAAAGGAACATATGCATATGCCTAGTTTTAAAGACACATTAAACTATTATACTGCACAAGGGTTTAATTAAAAATTTGCTAAAGCTCTCCTGTTTCTTCTTTCTCTTCAATATTATTGGAGCCAACAGAAACTATCACCATACCTTTGAAGGAGCCTTTTCTGCAGTGATATAATATACTCACAACCTCCTTTCTCCTTACCAAGCATAGCAGGGTATCTATGAAAATCAGTTCTTATAATATGAAATAAAAGTTTGACCATGCTTTAAACTAGCAGAATATCATATTGCAATGGCTCAAGAAAAAGCTGGTGGCGATGTAGAGAAGTTACAGTTAAGGGAGGAAGACGTCAGACCACAACTCAGGATTAGTGCCATTAGGGCTTGCTTTGATCAGAAAATGATGCCAGTGTTCCTGTACCCACTGGCTTTGTCACAGAGCCAGCGCAACATCAAACAGCCTGGCTGGCAAACGCTGTTCAACTTGTGTCAAAGTGTTCGCTCTTCTTGACTCATTAGCATATGGGTAAACTTCAGGATAAACTTCTGCATTTCTGAACTTCTTGCATATTTGCTGTTTCCAGCTCTCCTTTCTGCTCAGTTGACTGTTTTGGCTTCCTTGCCTGTAAGTATATGTTACTTGGTGTTAGGAAATAAGTAAAACATAGCAGTGTATTTTGATAACTAGAGATGCCTTTTTGTATTTTGCAGATTTCAGAGAGGGTATATTGTCACTGCAAAACAAATATAAAACATATATTTGAAGCACAACTCAATAAATCTGGGTTGTCTGAAGGCTGGAAATCATAACTTGAAGATAAGCAAGCTGTACCTCTCTTCGGATAGGGAACTTGCTTGCAGCTTGTCTTTGGGCATTAGCAGTTTTTCTGTTTTGTTCCCAGCTGATTTTCCATTGTCCAGAGAGGGATTCCCACCTTTCGTTACTGCTGCTTCTCCAGAGGACTGCTGAGATGCCTCAGGAGCAGCCTCAATACTTAGTGTGGTAGCGAACAACCCAGCCATTTGGGTACTAGGAGGAAAAACTGTCCTGACACCTGTGGCAATCCCATGGCAACACGAAGGTGTAGGGGTTTTTAGGCCAGATTGGTTCTAGACACTCCCAGACTTTCCCCACACAATAAATCTTACTACCACATATAGATGCATTTTTCTGATGATGCAAACTATACCAGCATCACATCCTTGAGGGGGTAAATGCGACATGCTCTACCCAGCATCAGTGTTAGTGCCTTATATTAGTTATATTATGCTTCTAGGTTAATGAATGTGTTTGTTTTACATCTAATGGTCACATTTTTTTTTCCTCCCAAGACAAAATAAACTGGGATCAAAAAAGACCTACAAAGTATAAGGCAGCAGCTGTTTCTGGCCCTTCTTGAGCAGTTCTGCTATACTTCATCAGGCAAAAGTCTCCCTGACACTTGAATGAGCAGACCGCTCTTGGTCTCACGGTTCATGAAAACTGATATGTTTTTCAAAAGCTTGAGACTCTGGTAGGACATACTGCTTACTTTGTTTCAGGAAGCAGAAAGGGAGTAAGCCAAATAGCAGCTGTTTTCAATTGCAAATTTAGGCTTCTAATGTGGTAATAAAGGTTTCAGAAAAGCTGTACATTAATCAAAAACTCTCATTAAATTTAGGATTGGCGGGT